CAGTGCTACTTAATATTTACCAGGTGTTGTCACGTGTTAATATTCCAGCCCTCTCCTTATCCAGTTAAAACATTTTTAATAACTTCCAGTAATTTCATATATTCCATATCATCATCTAAAGCTCATGTTTTAGTTTAATTATGTTTTGATCTTGCACATATTTAGTTGGTTGCATTGCTCCAAAGAAAAAGCTACTTATTATGTGTTACCCTGTGTGTGTGTGTGCGTGTTTGTGTTTGCCAGGTCACGTCAACCCCCTCCCATACACATGAGTGCCGTTTTCTCCTCGCGCTGGGCCGAGCGCCATGCCTGACCGGGACAGTTCCTACCTGTCAGGTGGTGGTGGGAGTGCTGGTAGTCTGGGTGAGGAAGGGGGACCTGTGTCTGGTTTAGCAGGGGGCTCGGCGGAGGGCAGAGGAGGTTCAGGAGGAAGTGTTGGAGGCAACGTCTCTGGCCCTGGGAGCATGGGGGGAGGAGGGGCCCTCGGTAACGGCAACAGCTGTGGGAACGGTGGAGGCCAAGGTGCAGGGCTGGCGCTGGACGGCGTCTGCAGGGACTTCATACGCAATGTCTGCAAGAGAGGGAAGCGCTGCCGCTTTAGACACCCAGACTTTAATGAGGTGCCGGACCTCGGGGTGCAGAAGAACGAATTCATCTTCTGTCACGACCACCAGAATAAGGAGTGTATGCGCGCCAACTGCCGCTTTGTCCACGGCTCGAAAGAGGACGAGGACTATTACAAGAAAACCGGAGAGCTACCCCTCAGACTAAGAGGGAAAGTTGCAGCACGACTGGGCCTCTCCCCCATGGATCTCCCCCATAGCCGTGGGGAGGTCCCTATCTGCAGAGACTTCCTGAAGGGAGAGTGCCAGAGGGGGAATAAATGTAAATTTCGCCATGTCAAAAAAGACTATGAATACGAGCCTTCCAGGGTTGGAGTGGGCGGTGTTGTGGGGCCGGGCGCCAGTGGAATGGTGAATCCCGGGGGAGGCATAGGTGGCGGAGGAGGAGGTGCCTGTGGAGGAATGCAGGGACTTGTGGGAGGTGGAGGTGTAAGTAATATGATGGGGATGGGTTGCCCTAGCCTGGGTGGGTGCAGAGATCCAGGTATCTCAGGAGTTGGGGGAGTAGGTGGAGGTGGGATAAGCGGTTGTCTGTCCATAAGTTCTGCAGGTCAACGGCGTTATGACAGGAGCGCGTGCTCAGTGTATGACCCTCTGCTTGAAAGTGGGCTATTTGATCCTGGCTCCCTCGAGGCCTCTATGGACCACACTGCTCTACAGCTGAAGAGGCGGCGGTTGGAGGGGCTGCGTCTGACAGATGGGAGTGGAGTTGGGCACTATGAGCTGGGAGTTCAAGCGACCTTGCCACCACGTCCTCTGGAGTACAGGTTCCTGGAGGAAGAAAACTCCCTGCTGAGGAAGAGAGTGGAAGAGTTGAAGAAGCAGGTTAGAAGGAGAAATGGGGGAAAAAAATTATACTGGACTGAAAGACCTTTCCCACAAAAATAGTATTTTAGACATTTTTGTATTTATCATGAAATATGAGTTGTCTTCTTAACAACTAATACCAGATGCAGTGGTGTGCAAAGTAACTGCCACATTTGTCAGTATAATGCAGTTCAGTACAGTGTGTTAACAAAGTCAAAGTCTTAACAAATAGCTGCATTTGAAGATCAACAAAGGTAGAATTTATTGTAGGCTGTTGTATCTGATTACATTATATTGTCAAATGTACACTGTACGCTTCATGCACTGAATTGATTATAATGGTCATTTCACATGACACTATCATGTGATTATTATTATTATTATTATTATTATTATAGTGTCAAATTCAACTTTAGTCATAATGACTTCAGTTGACTTAATATATCTCGCTGCCAAATCGCAGGTAGAGTGAAGTTTCTTTGACGGCTGCACAGGAGAGGAAGCAAATAATCTTCATCCAACGCAAGATTAGTATTGTATAAAGTTACCACAGCATCTGTGGGTCGGCATATCAAGCAAACAACCACCCAACTGAACAAACAACTTGCTAAGGACCAAAAGTTTGAAGTAGAGCTGAAATATTTAGTCAATCGATTAGTTGATCAACAGACACTATATTGATTAATGACTGACTGACTTATTTTTTAGTACAGATCTCAAATAATTGATTAATGTTTTCATTTTTGACCATATATATTCAAAGATAACATACATAATTGAATAGTTGATGGAAAATAAGCATTAGTTTGTTACCTGATCACAAATGTTGGTATTCCCTGGTCTGTATTTAAATTAGCTGTCAGAGTGATAGCAACTTTTTTGCTGACGTTTGGTTAACAGGCTGTACTGGAAGACAGAGCAGTGTCCAAGCTATTTATGCAACAAGAAAAGGTAAAAGTTCAACATGGACCAA